CTGCCTTAACCATGAACTCCCGTCCCCCTCCCCACTGGTCCTGGCAAACCACCATTCGCTTTGCCGTCTCAGAACCTCATAAAAGTGGAATTGTACATTTGTCTTTTTGTGTCTGGCTTATTTCACTTAAGGTCTTTAAGGTTTAGGCGTGATGTAGCATCGGTCAACACTGCCTTCTTCTGCAGACTGGATACTAGTCCACTGCAGGTAGGCACCGCGATCGAGTTCATCCAGTCACCTGCTAATGGGCATCGAGGTTGTTGCCGCCTTTCAGCTATTGTGAATGATGCTGCCCAGAACAATCCTGCACCTGGTTGTGTTCCTGCCTTCAGTTCTTTGGGGTGTACACCAGAGGTGATACGTTCAACTGATGTTATTTCTTGTATCAAAGACTGGAGAGAGAAATTACTATTGATTTTCTTCTCTCTCTCCCTGCAGTTAAAACAACTGATGGCTTGTGACCAATAGAAATCAATTTGGTGGGACTGGTGGTGACAGAGATATCAACATGAAACCGTAGTGAATGCTGATTTTCCCAAATTAATACTTGTGTTCTGAGTCCTCTTGACACAACCCAAGAAGTACTTTAATGTGACATGAACGTTCACATTTTTGAGCCAGAAACCAAATCTCTTATGTGTCTGTATAAATAAAAGACTGACTTATTTACTCTTTTGTCTAGTTACTAGAATGTCAACTCCGTAAGGGCTGAGCGGGAGTCTTTTCTGTTCACCTCCTTATTTTCAGCATATGCTAGGAATACAATATATATTTTCTAAGAAAATGAACTTGGAACCAGTCTCTAAGCATATCAGATATGCTGCTTCAGGGCACATATACACAACTTTCTTTTATGGTCATTTATACAGCAGAATTCATTTGAATCATGCTCTCATTGTGTTGCCTTTACCGTCAAGTATCTTTAGCAATGTCCTTAATCCACTCTCCATATTTAAAGCTAGTGAGTATAGTTTTATTCACCGATATTTTAAAGTCTCACCTTTTTTAGTCAACTCTATGTTTCCTCTTCCCTTTCCTGCATGTTACACAATTTTTTAAATTTAAATATAAGATTTATGATTACGCATCCCATGATGAATTACAAGAAATTAACTTGCATGTATAGTAGATAAAATAGGGAGCACCCCACTACCACACAGTGATTGGTGTGAGAGCTCCTTCCCGGTTTCGTGAGGGGTCTTTCCGTCAAGTTTCTGTACTCAGGCTGGTCTGATGCACTGCTGTTTCCAATAAGATTTCTGCAGCTTTAAGCATGAATTGAAAAGGACTGCTTAACTCACTTTCACTCTGATTAAACTTGGAAAGAAGGAGATTCCAAGCATCAAGGCTACAGACAGCTCTTGAAAGCATCCCCCAGTTAAGATTCATTACTCCAATCAGCTCCTGAGCTCCCTGCTTCCAATCACTGCTCCACAAACACGCTCCATGCTTCTTCCTTCTGGGTTCTGATGTCCTGTTTCCTCTGCTTAGACGCACAGGCTCTGCCTCATTTAAGCTTCACTGGGAGAAAGTCTAACCACCCTTCAGGGCCGCTCAAATTCTTCACCTCCCTGGCAGCGAGCTATTCCTGTTCTTTTACCAACTGAAGTGTCTCCTTCCTTTGAATCCATGGGACAATCTGTGCTTTCCTAACAGAATTGATTACTATAGCACATATTTGCATCAATGCATTCTTGTTAAAGTCCTCTCCTCCCACCCTTCCTCTTTCCCTCTCTCTCCATTCCTCTTCTCTAACTCGTGTGGAATATTACACTGCACAAAGCTGGCCTCCTGGAAAGAACCCAAGTACCTCCTGGTAAAAGGAAAAGTGGGGTGTCCCTCAGAGTTGTCAGTAGTCCCGGAGAAACTAGTCCCACCTGTCTACCTCATCACATCAAGTCCACGTGTTCATTCCAAAACACCTGTCACCACCCAGATACGTCTGCCCACATAGCCCTTTCCCTTCTAGGGGGACCCAGATTCCCACCTCACCTCTCCCACCAGACTTTCCCAGGGGTCCCCTGGAGCTCACAGCCCATTATTACCTATATTCCCTAAGTATCCCAGCCTTCTCTCAGACTATTAACTTTCTGATTTCTTGTCCCCAAACTGTCCCCTCCCCTCCAGGAGATATGGCTTTCTGTAGCCATCTCAGAGAGCTACCCCTATACTTCAGTTGGCAGAGAGCCTGGGGCAGACTGGCAGGTATCTCTCTATCTGGATGGAGGCTTCTAGAATATCCTTCCACCTCCTTTGGCACCTTCTCCCAATTCCTCTCAAGCACCTGCCATCATCAGATTGTATCACTCATAAGTATCTCACTACAATCATCTATAGGCCTCTGGAGAAATCCCCTTTATTAATGGGCTATTTTCATGTTCAGCTCATTTTTCTTTTTTTCCACTATAAATGTTCTCATTATCATGAACAGTCATAGAAAAATCCTCAGGCATTCTATTCGCAGCAGCATCTGACTTTTGATCACTCCCTCTCTTACCAATATGCTCTTTATGGGGTACACAGACCATGTTCCCTTGGCATTCCTGTCCCCTCATGGCAGCAGCTTCTTGGTATCCTCTGAAGGACTCTCTCCACGAGGTCTAAGAGGTGAGTGCCAGGGTCTGTGGACCTTTCCATCTATGCCATATTCTAGGTCATTTCATCCTGGCCCATGATTTCATCCCTGAATCTAGATCAGCATCTGTGACTGCTTTGCCTTATTAAAAATCTCCAAAAATGAACTCTCGATTTCTGCTATGACAGAACCCAGGGGAGGGATGGGGACCTGCTTGGAACAAAACCTAAGGGTCATTCTTGATTTTCTCTCATGCCCCACATACAATCCATCAGCATATCCTCTTGGCTGTCTTGGACTCCCTCCTGACCATGTCCCCAAACCACTGCTGTGGTTCAGCCCACTGTCATGTCTCTTCTGGAAAGTAATACATTGGGCTCTGTGGCTTCTCTTGTCCAAAAATGCTGTTCACCACCCACACACTAACCCTGTACAACATCCAGAATAATCCTCTTACATCGGGTTATGTCACACCTCTGAACAAAACCATTCAAAGACTTCCTTTCTAACACATCAAGGGTAAACCCCATGTTCTGGTCCTGGGCTACATTTCCAATCTCATCTCCAACCAATCTTCCAGCCATGCTGACCTCCAGGCTCCACTAGCTTGAAGGACTGGACAGAGGAATGAGCAGAATGCTCCTGACCTAGGAATCCACAAGTCTTGCCCTGGACCACATACATGACTTTGTATTAAGTTGTTACTGATTTTATCCATCAGTGATGTGTTTCTTTCACTGGTTTGAAGTACTGGGGTGGTAACACTGTTTTTGTTTGTTTTTTTGAACTGCTCTATGTTCAACTTCAAGAACAGTACACACTATGAGTACTCAAAAAAATGTCTGCCAACTAAATGAATGAACTGAACCAATCAACACTTTATGGGACTAAAATGTAAAACTCCTTTGGAGTTGCTTTTTACTTGCAAATCATGCAATTTACATATAATGTGTTGACCATTTGTGGACCACTTTTAGTTCTAAGGGGGATTCTGATCAGGAGTCAGTTTTTGGCACTATGAAGGAGCTATTTGGCAAGCACACTATACATGTTCATTTGCTTGGCTGATTTTCCTCTTTCATACTTCTGTGCATAAGACGATAAGGCTATATGTAAGAAGAGTTCTACTCATAGTTCTCCTGTTATCAAGAAAAGAAAGGCAATTCACTGATCATGACTGAAAGTAGACGCAACCACCAGTTGGATTCACCCAGGGAAATTTAGGTTTTATGTGTGTGTATTAATGCTATTTAAAAAAATATTCTTAAAATACTTTCAGAAAAATAATTGTAATTAAGAATATGAAATGCTGGGAGGCTTGCATGGCTCAGTTGGTAAAGTGTCATCTGCCTTCAGCTCAGGTCATGATCCTGGGGTCTTGGGACTGAGCCCCATATTGGGCTCCTTGCTCAATGGGCAGTCTGCTTCTCCCTCTGCCCCTTACACCACTCTTGTGTTCTAGCTCTCTCTGTGACAAATAAATAAAATCTTAAAATAATCTCAAATGTTCTAGCTTCTAAAATTTCTCCCCAATGTAATACAGTATTTATCAATTTATTTCTCAGTAACAAACCTATTGTAACTTTATATGCTGCTAACCATTTACAAAATCTTTCAACATATTTGATGAAGACTTATTGGAGAGAAATGAAGAATTATCAACTTTAGTCTTGGATGTTGTGCTTTTAAAAAATTCTAAGTAGGGGTGCCTGGGCAGCTCAGGTCATGATCTTTGGTTCAGGCCATGATCTCAGAGTCCTGGGATCCAGCCCCATGTTGGGCTCCTTGCTCAGTGGGAGCCTGCTTCTCGCACTCCCCCTGCCTGTTCCCCTTGAATGTACTCTCTCTCTGTCAAATAAATTAATCTTTAAAACAAAAGAGTCTAAGTAGGTTTGTGATTTTTTTCTGACATATCTGAGTTTTTTTAACTTTTAGTAAAGTGCTAAAGTTAGTAGTGTTATGTTTTACATTTATTTCAGATTTTTAATTTTAAAAAATACTGCAGAAAAAAATAATTTATCACATGATTCCTTCTATTAGAAAAACAGTAATTTTATATTTGCTGCTAGAAACTCCACATTGCAAATGTTTGGAGTTACCCTGAATTAAACCTATGAGAAGCATACAAATCTAGTGGGAGCCATACATTTTAATGATTTAATATCTTATTCAGAGTAAATTATCATAAGTAATTTTTTCCTATTTTCTAGTAAAAATAGAACATAAAAGTTGCACAGTATTTGCCTCATAACTATTCTGTATTTAGTTTGGCTAATTAAACTCATGGATCTCTGAGTTTCAGACTTTTGTTTAAACAACATGAATAAGTCCTCAGTCAATACAAACTACGTGGTTACACTTTATCTGCAAAGTCTGAGCTCTTTGTTTTAACATTAGTTCGGTATCTTAATAAATGTTTTCGTACCTTAACTCTGAGCACAGAAGTAAACATTCTTGCATCTTCAGATATACCTCCAATGTAGAATTTTTTCTGAAACACTGGGGGATGATCATTTTCATCCTGAATCTCAATATACACTTTAGCCGTATTGCCTGGAGGATAAGAAATAATATATTTTTAATTGGTGGCTATTCACTAGAAAAAATGCACTGGAGTAAATACTTATTATACTTGCTTTTTTTTTCTCTCTCTCTCTGAAACAATGGAAATGGCTTAAATGGAAAGTCATTCCTGAATGGCAAGTCTAATCCCCCGAGGTCCACAGAGGTCACAGATAATGATGCTTTTGGGCCAATAATGTGAAATTGCTGTTATTTCTTTTAATTACAATGTCTTGGTAATTCATTTTACTTGATTTAATAGGCACTAAAGTATTGTGTTCTGATTTTAATGAAACAATTCAACAGTTCATGCTCACAAACATTTCACACACACTACCAACTACACCAAAGTGACACAAATACATAAACACCTTTACGAAATAAGAGAAACTGACGTCAACTAAAAACAATATTTTTTTCCTTAAGTGTAAAACTAGCATTGATAGTCTCTCAGTTTAAAAATGTACAATATTGGGGCACCTGGGTGGGTTAAGCCTCTGCCTTCAGCTCAGGTCATGATCTCAGGGTCCTGGGATTGAGCCCTGCATCGGGCTCTCTGCTCAGCAGGGAGCCTGTCCCCCCCCCCTGCCTGCCTCTCTGCCTACTTGTGATCTCTGTCAAATAAACAAAATCTTTAAAAAAAAAATGTACAATATTTTCTTTTTTTATTTTTAGGATGAAAAGTAAACAGTGGTTGGGTGAGGGGTTTATTTCTACAAAGAGAAACCAAGTTTAATCATAATGTTACAGCCTGTTGTTTATCCACTGAAAAAAGTATAGCTGGAGAGATCAGTGAGGTCGTGTGAGTCATCTATACTGGGGTGTGATGTCTACCATATTAAATATGCCATAAAGAACACATTTCATCATCAAATGTTAGAATCTCACTCCTTCCATCATCATCATCACTCTAATGAAAAATGTAGCACCTGTCACTAGTCCACAAATAACCCTCTACAAGGAACCCAATATACAAAAATAACTCGGGGTGCCTGGGTGGCTCAGTTGCTTAGACGTCTGCCTTCTGCATGATCTCTGGCTCCTGGGATTGAGTCCTGTGTCAGGGCCCCCTGCTCAGTGGGGAGTCTGCTTCTCCTCTCCTCTTGTGCTCTGTGTCTCTCACAAATAAAGATATGTGTGTGTGTGTGTGTATGTGTGTGTGTGTATCAAAATACTATGCAGCCACCAAAAAAAAAAAGAAATTTTGCCATTTGCAATGACATGGATGAAACTAGAAGGTGTTATGCTAAGTGAAATAAGTCAATCAGAGAAAGACAATTATCATATGATCTCTGATTGAGGAATCTGAGAGGCAGGGGGAGGCTGTGGGGGAAGGGAGGAAAAAATTAAGCAAGATGGGATCAGGAAGGGGACAAACCAAAAGAGACTCTTAATCTCACAAAACAAACTGAGGGCTGCTGGGGGGTGGGGGGTTAGGGAGAGGGTGGTTGGGTTATGGACATTGGGGAGGGTATGTGCTATGGTAAGTGCTGTGAAATATGTAATCCTGAGGATTCACAGACCCCTGGGGCAAATAATACATTATATGTTAATAAAAAATTTAAAAAAAAAAATCAGTGAAGGAGCCCAGACTTGGGTGTCAATCATATTGGCTGGCCTCCTGATTTCAAATCTCCTGGTCTGTTAAAGTATGGAGAACAATAAAAACAAAACAAAACAAAAAAAACAAAAACAAAACAAACAAAAAAAAAAATCGTAAAACAATATTTAAAAATAATTCACAAACCAGGAAAAATGAGGAATCGCTTGGTAATCCCTTTGCAACAAGTAGACTGAAATGATAGAAGCGTTCTGATGTCTTACCAATGTGAACTTTTCTCATATATTTCAATTAGGATCAAATATAGGGCAATTGAGCTACAAATTATTTATCAGGGAAAACTTAAAGTTGTTGCTTTATCATATCCCCAACTACAACAAAGTAACACCGATCTATAGCACCATAGGCACATCGTGGGTGTACAGTAGATCTGTGTTGATTAAGTACAAGGAATAACCTGCATTGTCTTAGAACTGAAAAACAGGCTGCTTTCTGCTTGCCTAGAAAAAGGTCAGAGAGGTGAGAGAGTTATTTTCCCGGAGGTTTTAACCCTACCCTGCTGCTACCCATTTAGTTTCCCTCTTATTTATCTCTTTCTGGCCATCCCTGACCTGGAGGAGTTGGAATGGGGAGGAGAGTGTGTTAGCTCAACAGAGAAGGTGCCCTGCAGGGAAGCAAGGCTAATGGCAGTTAGCCTGCTGCAGATCAGGGTGGGGGGGAGTGCTCCGAGCTGCCCCCTGGTGGGCCACCAGCCAAGGTTGGCCAAAATGAACACCACTTTCATCTTTTTTTTTTTTTAAATTTTTAATTTTTTCAGCGTAACAGTATTCATTGTTTTTGCACCACACCCAGTGCTCCATGCAATACGTGCCCTCCCCAATACCCACCACCTGGATCCCCCAACTTCCCACCCCCCTCCCTTTCAAAACCCTCAGATTGTTTTTCAGAGTCCATAGTCTCTCATGGTTCATCTCCCCTTCCAATTTCCCTCAACTCCCTTCTCCTCTCCATCTCCCCTTGTCCTCCATGCTATTTGTTATGCTCCACAAATAAGTGAAACCATATGATAATTGACTCTCTCTGCTTGACTTATTTCACTCAGCATAATCTCTTCCAGTCCTGTCCATGTTGCTACCAAAGTTGGGTATTCATCCTTTCTGATGGAGGCATAATACTCCATAGTGTATATGGACCACATCTTCCTTATCCATTTGTTCGTTGAAGGGCATCTTGGTTCTTTCCACAGTTTGGCCACCGTGGCCATTGCTGCTATAAACATTGGGGTACAGATGGCCCTTCTTTTCACTACATCTGTATCTTTGGGGTAAATACCCAGTAGTGCAATGGCAGGGTCATAAGGAAGCTCTATTTTTAATTTCTTGAGGAATTGCCACACTGTTCTCCAAAGTGGCTGCACCAACTTGGATTCCCACCAACAGTGTAAGAGGGTTCCCCTTTCTCCACATCCTCTCCAACACATGTTGTTTCCTGTCTTGCTAATTTTGGCCATTCTAACTGGTGTAAGGTGGTATCTCAATGCGGTTTTAATTTGAATCTTCCTGATGGCTAGTGATGATGAACATTTTTTCATGTGTCTGATAGCCATTTGTATGTCTTCATTGGAGAAGTGTCTGTTCATATCTTCTGCCCATTTTTTGATATGATTGTCTGTTTTGTGTGTGTTGAGTTTCAGGAGTTCTTTATAGATCCTGGATATCAACCTTTTGTCTATACTGTCATTTGCAAATATCCTCTCCCATTCCGTGGGTTACCTCTTTGTTTTTTTTGACTGTTTCCTTTACTGTGCAGAAGCTTTTGATCTTGATGAAATCCCAAAAGTTCATCTTCGCTTTTGTTTCCTTTGCCTTTGGAGACATATCTTGAAAGAAGTTGCTGTGGCTGATATCGAAGAGGTTATTGCCTATGTTCTCCTCTAGGATTCTGATGGATTCCTGTCTCATGTTGAGATCTTTTATCCATTTTGAGTTTATCTTTGTGTACGGTGTAAGAGAATGGTTGAGTTTCATTCTTCTGCATATAGCTGTCCAGTTTTCCCAGCACCATTTAATGAAGAGACTGTCTTTTTTCCACTGTATATTTTTTCCTGTTTTGTCGAAGATTAATTGACCATAGAGTTGAGGGTCCATACCTGGGCTCTCTACTCTGTTCCACTGGTCTACGTGTCTGTTTTTATGCCAGTACCATGCTGTCTTGGTGATCACGGCTTTGTAGTAAAGCTTGAAATCAGGTTTGAAACTGGAGCTCAATCACAAGGAAAAGTTCCGAAGGAACTCAAACACCTGGAAGCTAAAGGCCACCTTGCTTAAGAATGCTTGGATCAACCAGGAGATCAAAGAAGAACTGAAACAATTCATGGAAACTAATGAGAATGAAGACACTTTGGTCCAAAACCTATGGGATACAGCAAAGGCGGTCCTAAGGGGGAAATGCATAACCATCCAAGCCTCCCTAAAAAAAAATGAAAAATCCAGAATACACCAGCTGTCTCTATACCTTAAAGAACTGGAGAATCAACAACAAATCAAACCAACTCCACACATAAGAAGGGAAATAATCAAGATTAGAGCTGAGATCAATGAGGTAGAAACCAGAGATACAGTAGAACGTATCAATGAAACTAGAAGCTGGTTTTTTGAAAGAATCACTAAGATCGATAAGCCATTGGCCACACTAATCCAAAAGAAAAGAGAGAAAGGCCAAATTCATAAAATTATGAATGAAAAGGGAGAGATCACAACTAACACCAAGGAAGTAGAAACAATCATCAGAAGTTATTATCAACAGTTATATGCCAATAAGCTAAGCAACCTAGATGGAATGGATGCATTCCTGGAAAACTATAAACTCCCAAAATTGAACCAGGAAGAAATTAACAATCTGAATAGGCCGATATCTAGTAATGAGATTGAAGCAGTGATCAAAACCTCCCAAAAAACAAGAGCCCAGGACCTGATGGATTCCCTGGGGAATTCTACCAAACTTTCAAAGAAGAAATAACACTTATTCTCCTGAAGCTGTTTCAAAAAATTGAAGCAGAAGGAAAACTTCCAGACTCTTTCTATGAAGCCAGCATTACCCTTATCCCCAAACCAGGCAAAGACCCTAGCAGAAAGGAGAATTTCAGACCAATATCACTGATGAATATGGATGCTAAGATTCTCAACAAGATCCTAGCAAACAGGATCCAACAGCACATTAAAAAGATTATCTACCATGACTAGGCGGGATTCATCCCTGAGCTACAAGGATGGTTCAACATTAGCAAATCAATCAATGTGATAGAACAAATCAATAAGAGAAGAGAGAAGAACCACATGGTCCTCTCAATTGATGCAGAAAAAGCATTTGACAAAATCCAGCATCCGTTCCTAATTAAAATGCTTCAAAGTATAGAGATAGAGGGAACATT